CATGTGGCCCCAATGGCTTTTCAACTCATTGCGGACCGCCGTATCGAGCGCATTTCCGGATTATTTAATCTTTTTTCATCAGTGATTCATCAGAAATTTCCTAATACTTTTCATAGCTCATGAGCTAAGAATCTTCCGTAACCAAAAGCGTGTTTTGACAACATTAGAACATGGAAGAAAAGCCAAATTGATCCAGTGAAATACCGCATAGAGAAATATTCACGACACACCGTGTGTGTCACGCGGTTCGGAACGTGTTAATGACCTCTCCTTATGCATACTGCACTCTAGCATAGTGAAGCTCGAGTAATTATTATCCAGCTTACATCTGGTCCATATCTGGGCTCAGAAAAGGGAGTACCTATGGGTATAATTGCCAGCGCTGCGGCGTCTGTGGGTAGTTGCGGGTTTAGACAGTAAGGTGTGGGAGGTGCACTGGCCTTTTCTTACCAACCAGCGGTTTCCTGTGCAAACCCGGCCCATCCTTCTAAATAGGATTCTCCGTGGCCGTAGCGTCCGCGACAAAGTGCGTGGTCATGGTCACGCCCTCACCAGACTTTGTGATATGGAGCTTGGAGATGAACAAATGACTATCTAAAACTTGTTCCACTTCTGTACGATTTGTACGTGACAGTTGAAAAAATCAGGTCTGGAGCGATTGCAGTTTCGCTACAAGATGGTATGGAATCGACAAGATTCAAGAAACCAGTTCCTCGGACCTCCTACTTGTGCGTTCTGTAGAAATAAGCGATGATATGCGCAAAACTATGTTTTGTAGCAGCAGTGGACCGCTTACACGCGCCTCCTTCTCTCAGGTCAATTCCTGGATCGCTTTTCGCCCAGGATACAACCAGGCCCATCCAACTTGCCGCGCTTATCACCAGTTACCACACATGCGTCTAGCGAGGCTGAATGTAACTGGCTTGTACATCGGCTGATCCCTGCCTTCTAATTGCAATGGAATTTTTCAACTTTCTTCAGTGCTGGCATGCTGTCTAGAATCCGAGAGTAGCATTGACTTGAGTTGTCGGTGGCACAGTCCGAGAGTTGGGACACGGTGCGAGAAAGACTCTCGGATAGAGGAAAAGCTCCGGAAAAAGTGCTCGGTAGCAGACTCAAATTGAGAGCAGCATGAACTTGAGTTGTCGTCTCACAGGTCCCGACAGTTTTTGACGCACGGTTGAGGAAATCCGGATAGAGAAAGGTCGGGAGCTGTGTGCATGCTAGTCTAAATGGATCAGCACGTCACTTGAATTTGCGGGGCACAGTCCGCATGTTTTGCTGACACGATTCAGGAAGATCTTCATATGAGAAAAGGTCGGGAGTGTGTGCATTGAGTCAAATCGACTGGATATGACTTGATCTCGCGCCCGGTGCAGTCCCGAAGTTTTGTGACATCGGTTGAGGCAAGATCTCGGATAGAGGAAAGAGGTTCGGAAAATGGTAGCCAGCGTCCTAATGGAGAGCCAGCATGACTGAGTTGTCGTCGCACAGTCCGAAGTTTCTGTGACACGAGTTCAGGAAGATTCTCATATGGAACAAAAGTCCGGGCGGGAAAGTGGGTAGGCAGTCTAAAATGAGAGCAGCGGATGACTTGAGTTGTCGTGCTCCACAGCTCCGAAGTTTCTGTGACAACGGTTGAGGAAATCTCGGATAGAGAAAAGGTCGGGAGTGTTGTGCCATGCGAGTCTAAATGAGGAAGTAGCATGACTTGACGTTGTCGTGGGCACAGCTCCGAGTTTGTGACACGGTTGAGGGAAGATCTCGCGATAGAGAAAAAAAGGTCGCGGGACGTGTGTGCATGGCTGCTAAATGAGAGTGCATGACTGGGAGTTGTCGTGGCCACAGTCCGCAAGTTTTGTGACACATTCAGGAGATCTCATATGCGGAAAAGGTGGGAAAGTGATTAGCGCAGTCTAAAG